TATATATATATATATATATATATATATATATATAAAATAAACGATTATTTAACTTAATTAAATTTATATTATACGTAGTAACAGCTCATTATTTCTTAAGCAACCTTACATTACCTTTTCTAAAAATTTTATTAAATAACTTTTATTATGATTTATGTATTGCTTTTACATTTTAGTATTTAATTTTTAAAATATAGTTGTCATGCATAAAAATTAATGATTATACTGACATAATTTTGTAAATTTCTAAACATAATTTCAGTGTCTTAATTATTTCTTACATAACATAAAAAATAAATAAAAATTGAACAATATGAAAAATCAAAAATAATTTTCGCATGGAGTTTGAATAGGCAAAAACAAAGAACGCATCAATAGTGTAAGGACCAATCTATCCAACCCAAATATTAGTAGTAAACAAATATTTGCAGATAAAACTACCGAGTCTATCAGTATTCACAAATAAAAATTACTGTGGATATTTATTAGCAGTGAATAGTAAATGATGTGTATTTTAATGTTAATTTATAAATAGATTGGATATAAGTATCATATTACTCATGTTTATTATTAAAAAAAATAAAACTTAATTTATATTTTATTAAATTAAATTTAGTTAAAATCAAAATTAATTTATATTTTATTAGATTAAATTTAATTAAAGTTAAATTTTAATTTAATTTATATTATATTTTATATTTTTTTAATAATTTTATTTATATTTTATTTTAAAAATTTATAAAATATATATTTTTTAAATATTTATAGTATTTCGGTAGCCGTAGATTTTAAACATTTGTAGGTATTTTTTTTAAACATATATTAAAAGATAATGAGATGGAAAAGGAATGAATTTTTTAGGTTTAATGTCTCAATAGGTCCTATTTTTGTTCAGAATTTGAAATAGGTCCCTTTATTTTTTGGCGTCTCAATTGGGCCCTTATTTTTGTTAATTTGATGCAAATAAATCCTTTTCGTCAATTTCATCAAACGGCGTTAATGAATGTGTGACGTGGCCTTACACGTGTCAATACTGTCATCAGGCCATGTCACACATTCATTAACGCCGTTTGATGAAATTGACGGAAAGGATTTATTTGCATCAAATTAACAAAAATAAGGACCCAATTGAGACGCAAAAAAATAAAGGGACCTATTTCAAATTCTGAACAAAAATAGGGACCTATTGACACATTTTACAATTCGTAAATAAACATTATTTGTAACTAATCTAATACGTTGTCATCCGTGTTTATATCATTCAATCACGAGCACAAAACATGTGAAAAGACATTAACTATTTTTATCAGTTTAAACCACCCACACTAACAACAATAATCAACATAATATTAAGCATGGATGTTGTTAACAAATATTTACAGCATGGTTAATGTTTTGAAAAAATTGATTAGCAATACACAACGTTAATAAAACATAAGCTGAACTTATATAAAAAAATTGATATCATAAGGTTATAAATCTCTTCTCTTTTTACATGTAGTTAACTTTTTCTGAATATTTCTCAAAAATACATAACTACACATTAAATCCAAAGGTTTTATTAAAGCAATGAACAATTAACTAACTATAATGATGATGCAGAGCTTGGAGAGGAAAAACCATCGTTACATGTTTCTTTGTCGGGTGTATGTATAATTTTATCCAACATATCTCTCTGCTAAGTTAAACCAAAGTTATGCTTTTTGTCTTTTCCTCATTGATTAACACAGCTTTTAGCATTTGATTCTCTGCACCAATGCTCTTTGGTGGGTAACACTGTCTACTACCATGGTTGGCTTAATCTCAAAAGGTTAAACTGTCACACATTAAAAAATTCAAAAGAATAAGCAAATACACATCACACAGCCTTTCCAATTACCCAACTCATAAATTTCAAAATACAAACAGCTTTGATTAAGATTGCAGCAAACCCAAACACTGCCTCTAAATTAATCATTCATTTTTCCCCAATGGTTGTGTCACTGATTCGATTCCTTTCTTGGGTCTATTATCTGTTCATCATAATGTTCAGAACCATGTGCATTTGATTAGGCTTGCCTGTTTTTGCTTTTCTGTTTCTCCAATGACCTTCATTAATTCATCATCTTTTGTTTCTCTCTGCAAAGGTTTTGGTCTTTAAATGTATTAAGACGCTTTTTCTTCAATCACCATATCATGTTTTAGGTGCCTCTGTTCCCTTTTTAAATATTATTTACCACAATTATAGACCATACAGAGTGTTCCAACATTACAAAACCCATTTTTCTTTTAATTCACAATTCAATATGTTTTTTTCAAGACAACATAAATATTCTTTCAAATAATGCTCCTATTTTTTACTAATTTTTAATCTTGTTCCATATATGATTCTATCTCATTGATTTTCCCTTTTGCAAGTTGCCCTTTTCTATCATGATGTTCTTCACCAGGACATTGCTGGTTTTTTGCATAAGGATTCCAAATATGTGGTGTGTATCTATCTATTTTGTGCAACAAAAAGGTAAAGAAGAGGTATAATAATCATTCATCATTGTACATACATAAAAAACAACCTAATTTTGTGACATAACATTTTGTGTTGTTATATTGATAAAAAAAATACCCTGAAAATAGAAACAGAAGACAAACCAAACACCAGCTTTAAGCAGTAGCGAATAAAGCCTACTAATCATTCGTAAGAAAGATTAAAGTAATGATAAGTACCCTCCATGTGACCATCACACATTCTGTTTTCCCAATAACAAAGTATTTTACTTTTGAAATATCAAATGGCATTATGATATGCAGGAAGACAATATTGCATCAGCAATGTGTGGACATGTTCACGAATCGATGTCCTTGAACAGTTGAATGTGAAAATAGTGTACTTTTTTTGTAGTCACAACGTTGTCATTACGTGTTTCAATACTAATTAAACTAAGGATGATCACTCATACATCAAAATAGGAAGTGGAAAGCCACATTTGATTAAAAAGACTTGCTCTAACTCTTGAGCCACATAAGAGAACAGCAGTACAGAACTGAATTAAGCATAGACCTCATGTGAATGAGCAATCAAAACCAAAAGAGGGTTATAATTTGAGCGCAGGACAAAGCAACGCGTTAGTGCAACTGTTCTTTGACAAGGGACAAAGTAACCATCAGTCACTTCAAAATCTATTGGCTACAACTTTTGTGACTTATTCCCCTCAAGTCCCTTCACTAAAGTAGATATGATTAATTAAACTTTCATCGTGGCAATGCTAGAGTCTAACAATCATGATTCTGGCCTTTCGGTTTGATGATGAAGCAGTGAGTATTCCTCAAGAAAAAAAGTTTATCTTTTCTTCATCTCTAAGGTGTCCATTTATTCAGATTTTTATGTAACTGATCATCAGAATTTATTTTAACCACAGATTTTACATTGGAAGTGCGTCCGTGTAAAGTCGATTGTGATGTTTGAAACATCAATACAAGTGTTTGAAAACTAGTTGTGAAATGAGACATCAAAGATGTGAAAATTATAACCATTACCTTCTAAGATTCATATCCTAGACGTATAACAAAACATGTGTACCAACAACGGTGATTTCTGTGTCATCGTTACATCGTTGCAAAATTTGAAGTATAAACGCACTTCCAAAAATCTAAAAACACCACAGAAGGGGAAGTAAAAAGAAGCATCATAGAAAGAACTCGTGTTTAATTGTATTTCCACCAAGCCCACAAAATTTTACTTACATTGGTTACAAATGTACAAATCTGCCTACAGTAGAATGGAGATAGTATTGTGGTGTCAAATTAAAAAGGATAAGATAGTTGTAACTCAAAAAAAAAATGATGTCAGTCTGAAATTGAGACCATATTCAGAATGTCTGTTAATAATAATAATAATAATAATAATAATTATGAGAAGTGCATCAGTTGCCAAAGACTCTGACAGTCAAGTAGAGCTGAAGCCACAAAACAGAAAGCAACTGGATTGGTTGTTCGTACTGTTTGTGTGATTGCAGCAACAGGCAGCCAAAAGCAGCTATTCGAACAGAAATGACCGCCACACACATTCTCACCACACTTGAAAGTATCATCCTCAGGCACATGAGGCCCTACCATGAGATGGACGGCAAAATTGGCAGACAAAGAGATTCATTTAGTTAGTCTTACCAATAGTAAAATCATCAACAACCCAGCAGCATTTTTATCATAGTGAGAGCTTGAGCCACTACCTCTTCAATCTCCTCCTCTCATCTTGGCAAAATAATAGCCCCACAATATATCAAAATAATATCTCATAGGCCCCCTCCCAACTTCCAACACATGACTTTGCATCTCTTTTAGGGGTCAGCAGATTCTTGGTCGCAAAACGCAATTTACCCTGGGTGCCAGGACAAGCTAAAACTTGACCATTACAACCACAATAGTGCCACAGCTTGTCATGAACCAATGAGCAATATGAATCCTCTGAAATCTTATAGGGGACCCTCCACAAGCCCATGTTCACAACTCATTGGAACTGCAATTACTGCTAAAGGTTTTTACCTCAACCTCGATACTGCCAAATTTAACATCGTTCATAAAATCTCCGAGCTGCATGGATTTTTCCAAGGACAATATGTCCAAGGATAGGAATATGAATGAATCTTGATTCTACTTTCCAACATAGGAAAAGTCACTTCATTTCAAACGGGTATAGGTAGCCCATAATTGTGGAATGCTTTTATCCTGCCATCCCAGCCAGCAGTGACAATGACCATACCCCACGCATGAGCAGATGAGGTACTCTTGCAAGAAGACATCAAGAAATTGTATTCGGATTGGTGAATCAGTGATGTTTTCACCTTTGAGCTTGAAACAGGAAGCTTCTCCTCGGGCCAAGTTGCAGACCCCTTTGAAAAAGACTCCAAAACAAACTCTTGGCTCAGAGAGAAGGAAGCAGGTGGATTAAGTTGAATAACTTGAGATGATCCTTTATCCAACAAGTTCAACTGATGTTTATTTTCAATATTTTTAGATTTCAAACCATGCCAAGGTACTGCTACAGATGCATTTGAGCAAAACCGCTCACAAGATGTAATCTTCTTAGCTTTCACAGGATTAGAAGACTCTTCCTCACTAACATTCCATAGGTATACGTTAGAGTCCTCACATGCTGATAGAATATGTTTCCCATCAGAAGTAAACGATGCACATATTGGGCTCCCTGTGCTAAGGCCTGGAACAAAAATACAAAAGAATCTTAGTAACAGAATATAAAATGAAATAAAATTCAAATTAATACGAATTAAGTTTTTAGGAACTAAAAGAAAGACAGTTGCACAAATCTGCTACAGATTGAAAAAATTGTCAATAAATATAGGAGTTGAGACAAAAGGCCATACTTTTGTACTTGCCAATCACATTAAGGCCGTCAAGGATTCTGACTTGTGAATCAGCACAGGAGACCATAACTTTGTTAGAGTCTTGTGGAAGAAACTGAAATAAATAATAGATAATCAGTTTACAACACAAAAAGTAAGCTTATATAGAAAACCAAACATTCATGAGAAAAAGTAAAATATGACCCAGTACAATAAACAAAAGACGGAAAGGAAAATACCCGAAACCCAGTAATCCCTCTGCCAACAAGCTTCTTTTTACCAATTAAGCATAGTTGGGAATCTAACTGCAAGCGATTCTCTGGACCAAGCAAAAATGAAAATCAGAAGAGTTAAAGGCCAAATTCCAGTCCATATGGTTGTAATTGTAATATAAGCAATGAAATTCGTAACATGCCAACCATAACTTGATTGGCATTTCAAGGCATACAGAATCTTGACACAGCAGTAACAATAAATCAAACATTAAGAAATAAATAGACAGGAAGCATTTATAGTATCAAGTTTAGCACAATTTCAACATAATCTTCTTTACAATCATAAGGGAATCTACCAAATGACACCTAACTGGTTTAACCAGGGAAAATAAAATATTAAGATATATGTGAAAAAGAAGATACCTGATACATTGTAAAATCGACAATTGCCAGCCAAGGAGCCAATGATCCCTCCCTGTATAAAGAATATCTTCATCTTAAGATCATTTCAAATTTTGTCTATGTTTCTACAAAATTGAAATTGTTTTGAAGTAAATGTTACCTGCCCATCAGGCCGATAGCATACTGCAGTCACTATATCTTTGATACTAATCCAATCAACAACGTGACAATCAGAAATTGCCCAGATGCGCACTTTTCCATCTATAGATCCACTAATGAAATAGTTATCATCCACAGGATTGAATTGTATGCACGTCACTACAATGTATCAAACACAAACAAAGTGTGAGATAATTTATGAAGATGAAAAAAGTTAGGATGACGGCTCAAGAAGCCTGAAAAAAAATTAGAATGCAGCAAAGGCGCACCATAATTACTGTGTGAGAAAACCTTCAAGCAACGGTCATTATTCACTTGCCATAGTCGGACAGTTTTGTCAACTGAAGATGACAGAAGATACTGCATTCAAGAAGATGAAAAACCGAATCAATTCTCCAAACTTTTATCTCACCCAAGTGTATGGTGCTTAGTTTATTAAAAAAAAAACAGAATAAATGTCATTCACTCACATTATTGTTTGACCAAGAGAGATCCAAAACTTCACCTCTATGCCCATGAAATTCACGCAATGGTTTCTCCAACAACCGGAAGATCTTAGGAGGAAAAACTACACAAGCAGAATCTGATGTTTTTTTCAGGTTCTTCAGTTTGCTAATCTTTTCTTTATCAATAAATAGTGGTGTCAATTCAGAGAGATTATTCACAGTGAAATAAATGCAAGATGGATCAATTTCTGGAATATCAACTTCATTACATCTATCCTCCTCAACCACTTGCCACAAGCGCACAACCCCATCTTCACCACCACTAGCAAGATACTGCCCATCAGGACTGAACTTCATGGTCAAAATTGAACCTTCATGAGCTTTGATATCTTGCCTCATGTAAAGAGCTGAAAGTTCCTTCATTGGCTTCTTTGACTGACGGACCTTAACTTTCGGAAGCCTACACCCTGGCATTTCATCGAGGCCTTCTCCTCTTCCAAAATCACCTTCCCCATGACTATTAACCATGCATGATATTGACCGCAATTTCCTGAACCAACCCTTTGTCCTCCGAACAGAAGCATTGGCATCCGTTTCCCTAAAGCCATTCCCTGAATCCTTAGGCTCTGCCATAACCACCAATCGATCTGAATCCAGATCTCTTCCATCACTCATCTCCCTACTCTCCAGCCCCTCTTGATCCACATTACCCTCCAAATTCTCATTTCCACACGGCGAGTTATCCACTAAACCAAGCTCCTCTGAAGAATCCTCCCTATGCAAACAAGACATTGATGTCCGGCTTGAACAGAATTCTTCTTCCACAACACAATTTCGGGTCACAGACCCACTAGTAAATTCAACTCTATCATTTCCCTCTTCACACAGAACACTACCCACATCTACTGAATTTTCAGTTCCTAGGGCAGTCAAATCCATGCTACTCAGTCCCATACTCTTCATAAACCTGCCCTTACGCTCTCTAACACTCCTTGGACTCCGAATCCACAATCCATAATCGAAAGCATTGGATACCCCTTCATCATCCGCTATAGACAAAACATCCTCTTGAGCATCGAAAAACCGACATTCATCGTCTTCGCTGAAGCTACCCATGATTCTCTGAATTCAACCCATGAGACCCCCCTCAAAGAAGCAACATTTTATACCCAAGGAATTTGTCAAAATCCAACATTTATCTCTCTCCAGACGAAGCCACCCAGATCATGAACTACGCATTAAAAAAAAAGCAGCACAGAAACCAATATTAGCCATAATAAACATTTCACTAAACCACACAACAAAGATGATAATAATTTAATAAAACAACAGATACCGAGAGATCCAACATAGATCCCAATCCACACCCATTTAACCTGGTCTTATTACATTCGACAACTGGGAATGTAAAGCGCAAACCGCTTTCGAGAAATCAAAAAATGAGAACTTTTTTTATGAAAAAGAAAACACAGAAATAAAAATGAACCCACAAAAAAAGGGTATGTGGAAATTGCAAAACCCTTAGAATTTAAAACCCGACGAAAACAAGTGAATCAAAAGAGAAGAGAAATTGGCAGAAGAATAGTTAGAAGGAGACAACATTTCAAGGAGAAACAAAAGGAGGAAGTAATAACGAAATATATGCTTACATGGGGTGTGTTGATGATGAGAATAAGATTGTATGTTGGGAAGTTGAGAGGGTTTAGACAGAGAAATGGTAGCACCCAAGTACTGCTTTGTATTGCGATGAGACGATGGAGCAGCAGAATGTGCGAGCAGAGCCGAAAATACGAAGTGGAATATATATATGCGTGAATAATATGTTAAAGTGCAAAAAGCGAACAAGTCGGAGGGAGAAAACCCGTTTTGAGTGTAAAAAAATACGAGGGTTGAAAAGGGTAAAACAGGAAAATACGATAGGTTCATCGGTTTTGGTGATGGTTATGGCTCAAGAAACGAGATTGGAAGAAACACTGTTCAGACTTGTGTTGTGAGCGCGGAACGCAACATCCTCTCTCTCTCTCTCTTTCTTTCTTTCTCTCTCTGTGTTGTGATACTCTTCGCTCTGTCTCATTCTCGTGTTAATGAATTTCGAAAAATTAAAACTTCAAAATAAAAAAAAAAACACAAAAAGACAATTCATGAAGCTTTTGCATCTCTCTGACCCAATAGTAAATAATTCTGCTTTTGCTAATCAGTAGTAATAAATAAATTATTTCAGATGTAGTTAATTCTTGCTTTTGTCCAAGTTTTGAATTTAACAAAAGTAATGTCCTCCTCATTCAAAAGTAAGTGTCGTGTTATTATTGTACAATTATAAACATGTCAACCTATCATCATTAATACACTTACTATATTTGTAATAAAAAAATTTATAATAAGATAATAGATTTGGATTAGTGAAATCTATTGGTGTTAGTGTCACTGTGTTAAGAAACTAAACTAAACATTCCTAAATATCACTAAGGTATACTTGATTGAAAATGCATGAGTGAGAAACATAAAAAAACATAGGAGAAAATAATGAAAAGCATAAAATGCGTATTATTTGTAGGTTAAAAACGAAGAACTTTATCAAGGTTTCACATTTGGTAACAAACACATTCGCTATTAGTGTATGTGTTGAACGTGAGAAGATAGCAATGCTTTAGTCCAAAAACTCACTTTTTTTTTTTGCATATTTTCCAAAAAATCAAGATAATATTATCTCTATATCTTCTACCTTTAACGTTCATCTAAACTTAGCCAACGTATCTACCAAACATAGCAAATGGTTTATGATAACCAAATCGGTGTAAGATTTGTTTATTTTGATATTGAAACCAAATATAATCTTTTTTAAATATATATTTAATAAATATTGTTTTTCTATATCTCTTCACTTACTTATCATTAAATATATTCATATATAAGTTTTACTAAAAATATGATGAATACACTTTGTTCTTTTATAGACTCTTAAAAAGTATGTTGGCGGTGTTATTAAGATCAAAATACTTTTAACAAATTACTATTCATTATACTATTGACGGAGTATTAAGCTTTGCACGCACCATTGATGAAAATTAATACAACAAGCACCGACCATTTTTTTTTGTGTGGTATATTTTGTATTGTTAAATCAATTATTATAAATTAAATTTAATTATTCTAACAGATGGATGTAAGGGATGCGTAATAAAAAAAAAATACATTTGATATAAGTTTAATTTTCAGTGATACGGAGCTAGATCTCCTTCTGACTTTTATATTTAATTTACATGCTTGTATTAAAAAGACAACAATTTTAAGATATATTGTTTATACAGATAAATATATTGTATTCATACAACTAAAAGTTGACACTACAAACTATTAGATCTTATACCTTGTTTTAGATCTTATACCTTGTTTTCTCAACAAACTAGGAAAAATTATTCTCTAAATCATTTGCCGTTTTATATTTTTTATTCATATTAACAAATATTATTACTTAAATTCAGTTACTGAAATGTAAACCTGAGTTTGGATTTTAAATCTTGATATACAATATCAAATTAATAGATATAGGAATATATTTCATTATTTTTATTCAACCAAAAAGTTTTTCCTTTCATATATAGTAAGTTCTTTTTTTTAATTTCTCACAATACAAATATCATGTGCTATTAAATACGTGAATTTGAGACTATTTAAAATAATAAAAGAAATTACTTAAATCTAATAGACTAAACACTGATAAAGTATATCTAAAAAACATGTTGTAATGAATGAAAAATATAAAGCTTTTAGGTGGAAAACTGGTTAACCTACTCAGAATAAAAAGAAATGAGTGTAAAATCAAGTAATATGTGTACAGACTAAATAAAGTGCATTGTTTTTAATAATAAAAAAATGTAATTGATTTATACTGCGATAGGTACATTCCCTTACATCAATGAATGACTTGTTTTGGTCATGGTCAGCTGAGTCCTAATCAGTTTAAAATTAAATTTGATGTTTTTTTCAAGAAAGCATGATTTGTTTTCTGACCAAAATATTCGATTAATTATAGTGCACTATAGTGCTCACATAATGGTATACTCAGTCAAATTTTGACATAATCTTAAACAGAGTTTGATCATATAAAAGATAACAAAACAAATGACCTAAACTAGCACCAAACATAGCACGATTCTTTGACCCGGAAATGTTTCAGTAACACCTACTTCATATTCTAGGGTTGTTTTTCTTTTGTCCATTTTGTGTGTGAATTTTTTAGGGTTGAACTGATCGGTAAAAAGTGTATTATTGATTATTATTTATGGAAAGAATGAAGGAGCATGGAAGAGGAATTAGTCAACGGTCAGAAACGACCCATAAATTGTTTTTATTCTGTTTATAATTGAGAAACACTGTTGAAGCAAACATGGTTTCCTTGTCACCATTTTTTCCCAGCTCATCTAACCTTGTATTTAGCAGGGCATGGGCAAATTATGTCATGCCAAATTTACCCTTACAAACGTCCTTTTATACCCAAAAGTACTTTTTTTCTTCACGTAAAAAAATATAAAAATCACAGAATCTCCATGAAAATAGTATACTCATTATTCAACATTTGTACAATAATACTATTACATGCATCTATGTTTCCTTTGTAGAGTCTCAGTGTGTGAGCGTCATTTTAACGGTTGTTGAGATGTATATCTCAATCATGCTATGTACAACCCCACGATGGGACCTTAACTTTTTAAATTTTTAACTAATTTATGCTTTGATATATAATAATATGATTAGGGTTGTTGTTTTGTGTTGGCTACTCCCGAGAAATAGTGTGTTTGTATTCCCTTGGACGTGTTGTGGAGTGAGATAATGAATATAAAATAGAAGGTAGAGGTGTTGGATCCGATTGTTACACGAACAAAAGAAAACAAAAAACATCAAGGATTAAGAGATGTTATCATTAGGTTAAACTAATAATGTTCACCGTGTCACTACAATTAAGAGATGTAATGGGAAGTCAAGATTTTTATTTTTACTTCGTGTAAAAGGGGACAGCGACAAAAATCCACCAGCATATATATTTTGGGATAAGGATCGTACTTCGTCCTCAATATCCATCTATATTTTTTCATTTTTTTTATTGGCTGATTATAATTTTGGTCGTTTTCTTGAAATATTCTTTTTTTTTTCTGAGAATTAAAAGGGAACAGGATATGGGAGATCATACTCTCCATCTTCTTGAATGCAATTGCCATCGTCATCTTTATGTGAAGCAATTATTACATGGATTAGGATAATGTAATTCACTTCATCTCCATCATATATATGATTATTTATCATCATAAATTAAAATATATATTAGTAATGAGAACACGTCCCATTTTGGTCCGTTCTTTAATTTATAAAAAATAGTTGATTGGCTCGACTTGCATAATAAATACGTGTTAATACTAGTGGAAAATAAGGTTTTAATATCTTGTGTTCGACATCAGAAAATAATTGCTAACTAACCTATAAATTTCTAAATAAAATGTTATTAAGATAAGTATCAAATTAGACTAGTGAAAATTTTTTTAATGTAGTTGCTTTGAACTTTGAACATCGACATTAAGCGGAAGACATTAAATGGATTGTAGAAGCTAAAAAAGCGATGTTGATTGACCTTGGAATCGGGTTTATTTTCCATGTTAATCACCTCGTTTTTTGTTTTAGATAAATAATGATTCATTTTACACTTTATGAGATTTACAATCCGAAACCCAACCAATGTAATCCATTTTTGACATTTTAATATATCTAGAAGGGTACGTGAATATAATTATAAACAAAAAACGATCACAAGTACATGGTGTTATAGTGAATGTAGTGGTATTAACTTATGATTTTTGGTTTTGATAAGTTATGGTTATTATTTTTGGTTTAGGAATTTTTTTTACAACTCCTTAGGACTCATATTCAAAGAAAAAAACCAGGAGCCGTTACTTTGGATCTCTGTGAAGTATAAAATTTATTTGGAAAGTCAATTGTGACAGATCTTTAAACAAACTTAATATTTGCTTCGGTTGGCCGATTTGACAATATTATATGCGAGTTTTGATATAAACATGTTTCGTTTCTCTTTCGTCATTTTTTTTGTTTTTTCTCCATTTTGCAAACATATTTCACATACTTAGACTTTGTAATTTTCCAAAATCTTAAATGGTATTGTGGAACTTCTCATGATATTTTGGTATTTTTTTGTTTTTTGGGGGGGGGGGGGTGGATTTTTTTTTTTGGAGGGGAGTTTTTTTTTTTTTGTGTGGGGGGGTTTTTTTTCTTTAAAACAATTTCAATTCATTTGGAGTTGTTTGAATTATCTATCAATTTTCCTAAGTTTGGATGTATAATTGGATGAACCAGTTCAACAACACAATTCACATACAACACAAGTTCCCAGTATCACATAATAACAAGTTCAACCTCTTCAAAACGAAAACAAAAACTAACCTTCTTTAAGTTGGGTTTGTATAATAAGTGTTGCCACCAATGATGAAGAAGTAAACATTTATATGCTTCCAAAGAGTACCTATGCACAAACCATTTATCAAAACTAACAAAAATCATACCTAAAATAGTTAGTCAACTGGATGGTAAAATGAAAGAAATATTACATATGTTTATCATCGAAACTCTCCGGAAAGGTTTTAAGCAGCGAAGAATTTTTCGGCGAATATAAAGTGAATAATTTCAATCTTCCACTCAAGTTTTATTAATGAATAACTAACATGATAATGTTTGAAAATGATATTGTGACGTCAGTTATCGACCTTTTGAACATCTAAAACTAGGAACCTTGTTGACATCATTCATAAATATAATAACCAAATATTTTTCACAAAATTTTTTTATCGCACAGGTCGCGAAACTAAATAAATATCAGAATTAAATTCAGATCAGGACCAGTTGAGGTTTAAAAAAATTTAAATATCCACATTTTAATTAACTTTGGGTATTTATAAAAATGTCATGATCATTATAATGATGTTTTTTTTTT